GCTGCTGCTGCTGCTGCTGCTGCTGCTGCTGCTGCTGCTGCTGCTGCGACAAGGCCAAAGCAGTGCAAACGCGGGCAGTGAACAGCGCCTGGTTGCAGCGGACAACTCTGGAAGAAAGAGGCACAACAGGTCTTCTGCCATCGAAGAGGCGTTCTGCGCTGCAGTTGCTGCTGTCGCCCCCGTGCTGCTGCTGCTGCTGCTGCTGCTGCTGCTGCTGCTGCAGGTTGACGCTGCGGCCGCTGCTGCGGCTGCTCGTTGTGCTGAACTGCTGCGCAGCACACACGCGGCTCTGCTGCTCATCTTGCTCGTCGCGCTGCAGCTTGCTGAGGTCTAGCTGCGGCACGCAGGCCGGCCGCAGCAGCTGTTTCAACTGCTGCTGCTGCTGCTGCTGCCGCTGTTCAGGTTGCTGCTGCTGCTGCGGCTGCCGTTTCTTCGGCTGCCGCTGCTGCTGCTGCTGCCGCTCTTCCCGCTGCTGCTGCTGCTGCTGCTGCCCGGCGTCTTTCCGGCTACCCCTGCGGCCCTCCTCACGGCGCGCAGCAGCGCCACCAGAGTCAATACTCGGCGCTGCAGCAGCAACAGCAGGAGCAGCAGCAGGAACAGCAGCAGGAACAGCAGCAGGAGCAGCAGCAGGAGCAGCAGCAGGAACAGCAGGTAAGCCCTTTTCAAGTGCCAACACTCCAGGCGCCTTGAAGGCTTTGCGGGCAACGCGTGGGCCTGCTTGCTCGTGCCTTTTGCTGCTGCTGCAGTCGCTGCTGCTGCTGGCACTCTTATTGCTGACGAAGGCAGGCTTGCTGCTGCTGCTGCTTCTGCAGGGGGCAGCAGCAAGTGGGGCCCCACGAGGGGGCCTTCCTGCTGTTCCTGAGGCCCGTGAGGGGCCCCTCACTTGGGTGGGGGACTTTCTCTCGCGTGAGTGGCGGCCTCCCAGTGCTGCTGCTGCATTTGCTGCTGCTGCTGCTGCTGTTGCTGCTGTTGCTGCTGCTGCTGTTGCTGCTGCTGCCTCGCGGCGGCGCACACAAGTGCTCACTGTGCGGTGGCCATACAGCCGACTCGCGAAGTCCTTACCGAAGTACGCTCCAGCAGCGCTTGCAGCAGGTGCTGCTGCTGCTGTTGCTGCTGCTGCTGCTGGCAGCGCTGCTGCTGTTGCTGCTGCTGATGGCATTGCTGCTGTTGCTGCTGCTGCGGCTACTGTTGCCTGAGGGTCAGCAGACGCTGCTGCGTTTTCATAGACTGGGGCGGAAGAGGGGTTCCTGTCATCAGCTGCGCTCCTTGCTGCTGCTGATGCTGCTGTTGCTGCTGCTGTTGCTGTTGCTGGTGTTGCTGGTGTTGCTGGTGTTGCTGCTGCTGTTGTTGCTGCTTGTGTTGTTGCTGCTGTTGCTGCTGCTGCTGCTGCGTGGCTTCGCGGTCGTTGCTGCGAACGGCTGCTGTGAAGCTGGCGGAAGCTGCGTCGGGATGATAAGGCCACTGAGCACAGCAGCAGCAGCAACAGCAGCAGCAGCAGCAGCAGCAGCAGCAGCAGCAGCACAAACTCATTTCGAATAAACAACCCTTTCATGTGGTGGCAGTGCAGAGCTACAAAACTGATGCTGCTGCTCTTTCTGCTGCTGTTGCTGCTGCTGCTGCTGTTGCGTACCGCCGTCTCGTGCCCACGCCGCAAGAAGCTTCCCCTGCAGCAGCAGCAGCAGCAGCAGCAGCAGCAGCGTTTCTTTAAACAGTTCACTTTGTGGTTTCCTTTTAGGTTTCGGCGCGGCCCCGTAGGGCTCCACATTGAGGGTTTAGGGTTTGAGATGACGAGGGTTTAGGGTTTGAGGCTGCTAGGGTTTAGGGTTTGAGCTAGCCGGGGTTTCGCGGTTGAGATTGCTAGGGTTTGGGGTTTGAGCCAGCAAGGGTTTAGGGTTTGGCCTTCAAGGGTTTAGGGCTTGAAGTAGCTAGGGTTTCGGGCTTCAGCTAGCTAGGGTTTAGGGCTTGGAGCTGCTAGGGTTTAGGGTTTAGGGTTTAGGGTTTAGGGCTTACGGGCCTCCACCGCCGCTTCCGCTCTATGCGGCGCTCTAGCCGCTGCCGCAAAGCAGCAACTCTCCCTGTGGGCAGCTGCGCCACCGAGGCCGTAGGCTGCAGCAGCAGCAGCAGCAGCAGCAGCAGCAACAGCAGCAGCAGCAGCAGCGACAGGGGGGTTTTCAAGGACACAGCACAGGTTAAGCTGCAAAATCCTGGAGCGTTTCGTACGCGGGGTTTAGGGTTTAGGGTGTAGGGTTTAGGGTTTAGGGTGTAGGGTTTAGGGTTTAGGGTTTAGGGTTTACTCGTCGCCGCCGCCTCTCTTTCCGGTCGCTGCTGCTGTCTTCAGAATCTAAACGAAACGTTGAAGGGCCAGGGGCCCCCGGAGGCCCCTGGGGGCCCCCTGGGGGCCCCAGGGGGCCCCCTGGGGGCCCCTGGGGGGCCCCCTGGGGCCCCTGGGGGGCCCCCTGGGGCCCCTGGGGGGCCCCTGGGGGCCCCTGGGGGGCCCCTGGGGGCCCCTGGGGGGCCCCTGGGGGCCCCTGGGGGGCCCCCGGTGGGTCCGGAGCTGCTGGGGGCCCCCGGAGCCCTTGGGAACTTGTATTGGAGCGCGAGGGGCCTAGAGAGGCTCTGCTGCTCCAGTCTGTCACTGTACCTGCTGCTGCTGCTGCTGCTGCTGCTGCTGCTGCTGCTGCTGTGGGGGCGTCTAGTGTCTCAGCGAGAGATGGGACCGTTGTGTTGGTGCTGCTGCTCAGCCTCGTGCTGGTGTCTCCCACAGCAACGCTGCTGCTGCGCTGCTGCTGCTGCTGCTTCGGAAGTGCAATGTGCTGCTGCTGCTGCTGCTGCTGCTGCTGCTGCTTGAGTCCGGCGTCTCCCTGGCAGCCACTTGTGGCGCCGGACGCTGCTTCCCCTGCAGGGCCGTGTGCAACTGAATTTGCTGCTGCTGCTGTTTCCGCTGCTGCTGCCGCAGTTCTTGCTGCTGCTGCTGCTGCTGCTGCTGCTGCTGCGCCTACGGGAGGGTAGGTGGTGGAATAAAAGAAGTCATTGGGGTCCGGAGCAGCAGCAGGGGGCCCCCTTGTCTTTCTTTTCATTTGGCGGGCCCTGCGCAAGACCAGCCGGCTTGCTGCTGCTGCTCGGCGTCTGTGTCTGCTGCTGCTGCTGCTGCAGCTCCTGCTGCAGCTGCTGCTGCTGCACCTGCTCACGGCTGGCCCCCGGCGGCCGTGGGGGCCCCGGGGGCCCCCTGAGGGGGGCCCCCGCCGGGGGCCCCCGCAGCGCAGGGGGCCCCTGGGGGCCCTTGCTGCTGGCTGGGACTGGGTAGAGGCCCCCCCTAAAGATTCATCTGAAAAAGAGCTGCTGCTGCTGCTGCTGCTGCTGCTGCTGCTGCTGAGGGAGGCCTGGGGGCTGGGAGTTCTGCTGCAGCCTGAGCTGTCGGACAGGTGCCACTGGAACTGCTGCTGCTGCTGCTGCTGCAACTGCGACTGGTGCAGCAGCTGCTGCTGCTCGCGGAGCAGCAGCTGCTGCTTCTGCTGTGGCAGTGGAGACTGCTGCTGCTGCTCCTGATCCTGCGGCGGCTGCTGCTGCGGGGGATCAGGGCCCTCTGGGGTCCAGTGACCCATGGGCCCTGCTGCAGCTGTGGCGCTGCCTGCTGCTGCTGCTGCTGCTGCTGCTGCTGCTGCTAGGGATAGACCCAGGCTCCGCCACGTATCTTTCTTGAAAGCTAAAGAGGCGCGCTGAGGAGCAGCAGCGGCTGCGGTTGCTGCTGCAGCTGTGCTGCTGCTGCTTTTGCTGCGGGAGCTCTGCTGCTGTTGTGTTAGCTGCTGCTGCAGCGCCGCGAAGCCCAGCAGCAAACAGCCGGGGGGGAAAAGCTGAGAGTGACCCTAAACCCTAAACACAAAGTCAAATAGGCTAAGACAACGGGCGCAGCAGGGCCCGAGCCCTAAACCCTAAACCCTAAGGCTCAAACCCTAAACCCTAGGACTTGCTTCGGCGGTGATTGGCCCAGCGGGCTTGCAGCTAGGTAAGCAGCGCCTGCTGCGCTTCGTGCCTCTCTATGATGAAGAAATACAACTTATAATTGCTGCTCCAGCTGCTGCTGCTGCAGTGGACTCAAGAGCAGCTTCAACCAGCTGCAGCAGCAGCAGCAGCGGCCACAGCAGCGGCCCCCTCGCCGGGCTGCCAGGGGCTGCTGCTGCTGTTCCTGCTGCGTAAACTGCCTCTTCTTGTTATGAACTTGCCATTTAGTTTTAACATATTTCGCTGTGACCCTTTAGCAGCGGCAGCAGCAGCAGCAGCGGCAGCAGCAGCAGCAGCAGCGGCAGCAGCAGCAGCAGCAGCTGCAGCCGATGAGGCCCCGGTCCTTGCCGCTGTCTCTTCAACGAAATGACCTTTTCCCTCAGCTTCTCTCTTTTGTCTTGTTGCATTTATGTTATAATTGAGGTTTATTTGTTTGCTGCTGCTTCAGCAGCAAACAAGAGCAGCAGCAGCACGGAGCCAGAGGCCTGGCGGGACCAAGGTGCCTTGCTGCTGCTGCTGTTGTGCCAGATCACTTGCTGCTGCTGCTGCTGCTGCTGCTCTTGTTCTGCGTTCCCGGTAGCTTATGTTTGCTGCTCCTGCTGCTTCTAATTCTGTCGCTGCTGCAGCTGTTGTCCTTGCGCCTCTAACGTTTTTTGCTGCTGCTGCTAGTCCTGCTGCAGCTGTTTCTACTGGTTCTGCTGCTGCTGCTTTGCTGCTGCTAGTCTTGCTGCTGCTTAATTGCCTTAAAAGGAATTTACTGAAGACATTTCGTTCGCCTTCACTTGGGAAGCAGCAGCAGCTGCAGCAACAGCAACAGCAGATGCTTGTCTGCAGCTGCTGCAGGACGGTGCGCCGCTGCAGCAGAAGTAAAAGCTCCTACAACTGCAACTGCTGCTTCTGCTGCTGCTGCCGTTGCTGCTGCTGTTGCTGCTTCTGCTGTTGCTGCTGCTGCTGCTGCTGTTGCTCCTGCTCGTTTTCAGAGTCGCCCCATATGAGTACCAAACATCAGAGCCACAACTCCATGTCTTGTCCTGTCTGCTGCTGCTGCTGCTGCTGCTGCTGCTGCTCTTCCATCCTCCGTGAGGCGAAGCGCAGCGAGAGATCCAGAGCCCCGTTTCTTAGCGATATTACCAGCAGCTGCAGCAGCAGCTGCAGCAGCAGCAGCTGCTGCAGCAGCAGCAGCAGCAGCTGCAGCAGCAGCAGCAGCAGCAGCAGCAGTTCAGTCCTTCTAACTTGCTGCCAGCGCTGTCTGCTGCCCCTTTTCCAATTGTGTCTTTATCTTGATTCTGGGGGCCCCCCTTGGGGGGCCCCTGGGGGGCCCTGCTTGCTGGGGGCCCCTAATCTGGGGGGTTCTGCAGCAGATGGTGCTGCTGCTGCTGGGGGCCCCCCTTGCTGCTGCTGCTTTTTTTAAACAAGACCTTTTAATGCAGCAGGCAGCAGCAGCTCACAGAAGCTAGCCTAAGGGGTGCAGCAGCAGCTAAGGGGCTAAGCTAGCGCAAAAATTCGGGTGGCGTGCTGCTGCTGCTGCTACTGCTGCTGCTACTGCTGCTGCTGCTGCTGCTGCTATCTGATTTTTGAGTCCTTGGCAGCATTTCGTAAGGGCACGCACCTAGCGTTGCTCAGTGCAGCAGCAACAATGAGCTCGTTGCAGCAGCAACAGCAGCAGCAGCAGCAGCAGCGGTGGCAGCAGCAGCACCGGCAGCAGCAGCCGCGTTAACATCGGGAGCAGTTGCTGCGCTGCGTTTTCGACCCACCAAAAGCAGTTGCTGCTGCTGCTGCTGCTGCTGGGCCCCGCCCTGAGTTAGGGCCGCTGTCTTGTTATCCAAAAGTATAAAGGAAGTGAGGTGCAGCAGCAGCTTATGCAGCAGCAGCAGCAGCTGCTGCTGCTGCTGCTGCTGCTGCTCCGTGCACCGGTCTGGTCCGGCCGCACGCGTCGGCGGCGCTCGCAGCACTTCTGTTTTGTTGCGCCTGTTCTTGTCCGTTAAAATGTTCGTTAAAATATAAATTATTAAAATATATTAATTTATTTCAGTTTCAATTTAAAGGAAAAGGGCATTTAAAGCTCTGCAGCATCCCGGAACCATTCTCTCCGCCGGAGCGGCGGCCGACGCAGCGGCTGCGTCCGCTGCTGCTGCAGGTGTTGCGCGGCTCTGGCTTGGCCTATTTTTTCTGTCTTTTTGTTTTAATTAAAATTAAAAACATAAAATTAATTTTCTGCATTTTTTTTAGTGCTAAATAGGGTCAGCGCGCCCCAGAACTCCCAGCAACTAGCCAGACAGGCGTCGGCGGCAGCAGCAGACGGCCTCGCCTCGCTCCTGCGTAGTTTTCCTTCGCAATAATTAAGCATTTTCAACCCCAACAGATTCAAAAGAACAAAAACGACAATTGAAGGAGAAAGGGTTTAAATTTATTTCTTTTCCGAACTCAAAAATATGCGGGAGTTCTCGCGGGCTGCGGCGGTGACGCAGCTAGCCCCAATCCTGGCCTTCCTGCCAAAAGCCTTCGGCCAAGTCTGCTGCAGCAGCTAAATTTATAGTGCAATAAACTTTCTAATAATGCTTTATTTGTAGAACATTAAATGTTATTACTTTACGGAGTTGTTCTGCTGCAACATTGTATAGCTGCGCTCTGCGCAGGCGGGCTGCTGCTCCAGCGGCTCCCGCTGCTGCTGCTGCTGCTGCTGCTGCTGCTGCTGCTGCTGCTGCTGGCGTTGCTCCAGCAGCAGCTCTACTTGGCCCATGAGCTCTGTTGCTTAGTAGAGACTCACTCTTGTCTTTTTGTCTTTTTTCTTTTTCTTTTTTTAACACAAAAGGCCCGCAGCAGCGCAGCAGGGGCCCCCGGAGGCCCCAAAGCCGCAGCACTGCCACCCAGCTGTCTCAGGGGCCCCCGGGGCCTCTCTGCAGCACACAAGTGACAACGGGGGCCCCTCCCCCGGCAGCCCCAGAAGCGCCTGCTGCAGCAGCCGCTGCTGCTGCTGCTCCTGCCGCTGCTGCTGCTGCTGCTGCTGCTGCTGCCTAGAAGATGAAGGCAGCAGAAGCAGCAGCAGGGCCCCACCAGGGGGCCCCCTTGAAGGCCAAGGGGGCCCGCCTGAGCCCCCTCAGTGCCAGAAGCCCCAGTGTGTCTCCGCCCCGGACTCCAGCCTTCAGCAGCAGAAGCAACGCCAGCAGCAGCAGCCCCCGCAGCTGCTGCAGCCCCAGCAGCAAGAGCAGCAGCAGCAGCAAAGTGTGCAGCACTCCCCGCAACTCCGGCAGCAGGACCTGCAGCAGTCCGCGCAACTACGATGTTAGCAGCAGGCTCTGCAGCAGTCCCCGCGGCAACAACAGCAGCAGCAGCAGCAGCAGCAGCAGCAGCAGCAGCAGCAGCGGCAAGACCTGCAGCAGCCCCCGCAGCGGCAGCGGCAGCAGCAAAGGCTGCTCCAGCCCCCGCAATAACAGCAGCAGCAGCAGGAGCTGCGTCAGCCCCCGCCACAGCAACAGTAGCAGCATGAGCTGCAGCAGCCCCCGCTACGGCAGCAGCAGCAAGAGCTGCAGCAGCCCCCGCTACCTCAGCAGCAGCAAGAGCTGCAGCAGTCCCCGCCACAGCAGCAGCACGGCCAACAGCAAACGCTGCACGAGTCCGCAAGACAGCAGCAGCAACAACGAAAGCTGCAACAGCAGCAGCAGCAGCAGCAGCAGCAGCAGCAGCAGCAAGAGCAGCAGCCATGGCTTCGAGACGCGGCTGCTGCCCCTTCCCCGCTGCATGCGTGCTGCACCTGACCCTGCCTGTGTTGCTGAAAGGGAGCAGCAGCTGCTGCGCTACATTGCCTCTTTGCAAGAAGGAGGCCAGAGCAGCAGCAGCAGCAGCAGCAGCAGCATCAACAAGCAAGAGGGCTGGATAGAGCTCGAGTACCCTGCTGCATCTGCGAGCTCTGCTGCAGCAGCAGCAGCAGCAGCAGCAGCAGCAGCAAGCACAGGCGCCCCCACAAAGCGCGCCCCGCAGGACTCCCCAGACAGCCCCGCTCCCTGTGAGCCCCCAGGGGGCCCCCGGGGGGGCCCCCCGGGGGGCCCCCCGGGGGGCCCCCGCGGGCCATTTTTGTGTCTCGGGGGACTTTGCTGCAGCGGTGTCTGACGCAGGAGTCGAACCTGCGGGACTGCGGCGGCGCGGCCGTGCGGGTGCAGGTGCAGCTGCTGCAGCAAGTGTTGAGTTCGACTTTGCCGCGAGAAGTGTTTGAAGTTTGCTTCCGAGTGGGAGTGCCTGTGGGGCCGGACGCAGCGCGAGCAGCAGAAAAAAAAAGAATTCAAAACGCGCTCAGGAGAACCAAGGAACACCTCGAGGTCCGCAGCAGCAGCAGCAGCAGCAGCAGCAGCAGCAGCAGCAGCAGCAGCAGCGGCAGCGGCGAGGGTAGTGGGGCTTGTTTTGGCTTTCGGGGAGGGGCAGGAGGCAGTTACCCCACCGCAGCAGCAGCAGCAGCAGCAGCAGCAGCAGCAGCAGCAGCAGCAGCAGCATGTGTGTTTGTGCGTTCAGCGGCTGCTGCCTTCTCCGCTAGACTTAGCAGCAGCATTTGAGCAGCTGAAAGCAGCCAGCGAAGCCCTGGGATCGGCCGATCCCACAAATAGCCGATCCCAGCCAGCAGGGCGCAGCACCCCTTGGGGGCCCCCTGGGGGCCCCCCAGGCGCCCCCCAGGGGGCCCCCCAGGGGGCCCCCCAGGGAGCCTCCCAGGGGGGCCCCCAGGGGCGCTCCCAGGGGGGCCCCCAGGGGCGCTTCCAGGGGGGCCCCCAGGGGGGCCCCCAGGGTGGCCCCCCTGGGGGCCCCCAGGGAGGCTCCCAGGGGGGCCCCCCTGGGGGCCCCCCGAGGCCCCTTGGGGGCCCCCCTGGGGGCCCCCCGGGGGGCCCCCCTGGGGCGATTGGGGGCTACGTGAGCCACGGGCTGCTGGCGCGGGCTATGGAGGCTCTGGGGTGGTGGCCTTTGGAGTTGAACGGCAGCGACAAGAAAGAAGTGCTGCTGAGTTTGTCTTTGGCAGATGAAGTGGCGCACCCGAAGGGGAAGTTGGCTGCGAAGAAAGTGCTGCCGCAGGGAGTCACTAAAAGAGGGTTTGTTCGGGCCCTCGAGTTCCTCCCCTTCAACCTCCCCGAGTGGCCCGTGAGGGTTTAGGGTTTAGGGTTTAGGGTTTAGGGTTTGGGATTCGGCGCGAGCGGACGGACGCGGAGGCTGTGGGGTTTAGGGTTTAGGGTTTAGGGTTTGGGGTTTAGGGTTTAGGGTTTAGGGTTTGGGGTTTGGGGTTTAGGGTTTGGGGTTTTTCTTTGTGGCGATGGTGGGGGTTCAGGTCACTCACGATCGACTCCCTGTTGCTGGCCGCGTCGACGGCCTGAAGAAGCTGCTCGCGGGGCCTGCTGCTGCTGCTGCTGCTGCTGCTGACGCAGATGCTGCAGCAGCAGCAGCAGATGCTGCTGCTTACCCCTCCGGCTTCAGCGCAGTGCCCCTCGTCGTTTCCCCTCGCCAGCCCGTCTCCCTGCAGCACGTGGCCTTTCCTGTGCGGAAGCTGCCCAGCAGCAGCAGCAGCAGCAGCAGCAGCAGCAGCAGCAGCAGCAGCAGCAGCAGCAGCAGCAGCAGCAGAGCCAACAGCAGCAGCAGCAGCAGCAGCAGCAGCAGCAGCAGCAGCAGCAGCAGCAGCAGCAGCAGCAGCAGCAGCAGAGCAGCAGCAGCAGCAGCAGCAGCAGCAGCAGCAGCAGCAGCAGCAGCAGCAGCAGCAGCAGCAGCAGCAACCAGAGCAGCAGCAGCAGCAGCAGCAGCAGCAGCAGCAGCAGCAGCAGCAGCAGCAGCAGCAGCAGCAGCAGCAACCAGCAGCAGCAGGCGCCTGCTGCTATCCAGGAGGCCGTGCTGCTCTGCCAGGCCGCGCTGCTGCTTTGCCTCATATTTGGCCTCGACGTCTTCAGCGAATTCCCCAACTTGAAAGTGCCAACTTCCTGCAATGCAGCAGCAGCAGCAGCAACAGCAGCAACAGCAGCAACAAGGACTGCTGCGTCTGCTGCTGCCAACGCAGCAGCAGCAGCGGCGAGTGCCTCTGCTGCTGCAGCAGATTCTGCAGCAGCAACTGCTGCTGCGCAGCGAGCTGCAGGGCAAGCCACCGACAAGCAGAGTGCAGCAATCGCTGCTGCCACTGCTGCTGCTGCTGCTACTGCTGCTGCTGCTGCTGAAAGGGTCCTTTGTGACTCCCCGCTTTTCCTTGAAGCTGGACAGATGGAGCCAAATGTCTACATCAAGGCATCTGCACCAAACAGAAGCAGCAGCAACCGATATAGCAGCGGCAGCAGCAGCAGCAGCAGCAGCAGAACGCAGTCTGTGAGCGGACAAAGAAGCTCCAGCAAGCGCCAGCAGCAGCAGCAGCAGCAGCAGCAGCAAAACGGCACTTCAAAGCCAGACCCTCTCCACGGAGTTTCCATCCGAAGGACCAAGGTTCCTAGCTGGCACTTAGCTCAAGTAAGCTGCAGCACTTTGCAGCAGCAGCAGCAGCAGCAGCTCACGTCAGCTGCTGCAACTCATAGCAGCAGCAGCAAATGCATCTGAGTCCGTTAGTGACTTCTGGGCCCCTCAGGGGCCCCAGCGCTCCCCACTAAACCCCCTAGGGGCCCCCCGGGGCCCCCACGGGGGCCCCTGTGGCTCGCGCCAGGGTTTAGGGTTTAGGGTTTAGGGTTTAGGGTTTAGGGTTTGGGGTGGCGGTTTGTGTCCCGCTTTGCTTTTGCAGGACTTTCTGCTGAGCCGGATGGTGTCAGTGGAAGAGCTGCAGGCTGCGCTGCCGTGTCTGCTGCCAGTGGACTGGGTTGCTGCTGCTGTGTCTCTGTTGGTGGGAGCAGCAACAGCAGCACTTTCGCCAGTGGAGTGGCTGGGGCTGCTGGGGGCCCCCCTGGAGGGGCCCCCAGCAGCAGACTTGAGAGTTGTGGGGCAGCGCTATGCTGCAGTGCATCCTCGCCCGACTCCGTTGAAAGCCTCGCCTGCTGTGATTCGAACGATGCGGCTGCTGCAGCAGCAGCAGCAGCAGCGCCAGCAGCAGCAGCAGCAGCTGCAGCAGCAGCAGCAGCAGCAGCACGAACTCGAGGAGTCCTGGAGGGTCACTTGCGCCCCCAGCCGCATGGGGCTGCGCTGGAGCTCCTTCACGACGGTTCAGAAGCAGACAAAGAAGCAGCAGCAGCAGCAGCGCGCAGCAGCAGCAGCAGCAGCAGCAGCAGCAGCAGCAGCGGAAGGCAGCGGATCTGCAAGCAAGTTCCTCGAACTCGGCTGCAGCGAGGAGCAGCAGCAAGAGTGGCTGCTGCAGCAAACGGCGCAGCACATTCTCTCCACTGCTTACAGCGACAAAACAGCAAGTGCAATGTCTCGGCTGCTAGCTGCCTGCAACCCGGGGGCAAGCAGCAGCAGCAGCAGCAGCAGCAGCAGCAGCAGCAAAGACGTCACTGCGCTTGCTGCTGCAGGCGAGACCTTCTCCTTAGACATTCTGGCGCTGCAGTTCTGCGCTGAGGCCTTTTTCTATCTCTTCACCACAGCAGACATTTTTAAAGAAATCCATAAGCACATTTAGTAGCTATTTAATTGCAATTGCACAATTAAAAGGGCCCCAGTACCCTCTTGGGGGCCCCTCTGGGGGCCCCCCAAGGGCCTCCCAGGGGCCCCTCTTGTGGCCCCTCAAGGGGCCCCTAGGGGCCTCTCTGGGGGCCCCTTGAAGGCCTTTTAGGGGCCCCTTCTGGGGCCCCAAAAATACCCGTTTGAAACACTGCAGAGGCTCTTCAGAGGCCCCTCTTGGGGCCTCTTGGGGCCCCTCTTGGGGCCCCTTCAGGGGCCCCTCCTGGGACCTCTAGGGGCCCCTCCGGGGGCCCCTAGGGGCCCCTCTTGGGGCCCCTTGGGGCCCCTTTTAGGATTCTTCCGAAGCCCTTCTTGGGGTCTTTTAGGGGCCTTCGGGGGCCCCATGCACAGTATTGGGGCCCCTCAGTGCCCCCGTTTGAAGTTGCCCCTGGGGCTGTACCCTCTGAGGCCCTTGGGGGCCCCACAAGAGGTCCTCAGGGGGCCCCTAGGGGGCCCCATGAGGGCCTCCTGTGGGGTCCTGCGGGGCCCCTGGAAGAAGGCTGAGGGGCCCCCAACGGGTTCAGAGGGCCCCAGGGGCCCCCAGGGGGCCCCCTGTGGTCCCTCAAAAGGGCCTCCACAGGGGGCCCCCAGGGGGCCCCATAAAGGGGCCCCCAGGGGGCCCCATAAAGGGGCCCCCAGGGGGCCCCGTAGAGGGGCCCCCCCAGGGGGCCCCGTAAAGGGGCCCCCCCAGGGGGCCCTTTGTGGGGCCCACTTGTGTTTGGCCTTTTGAATTTTTGTCGCTGCGAAGTTGTGCCGGTTTGGACTGTATGTACACCGCAGCTGTGGGGTGTGTTGTGGGGCCCCCTGAGTGCTAGAAAGCGGCGCCACCTGCTGCTGCTGCTGCTGCTGCAGTAGCAGCTGCTGCTGGAGTAGCTGCTGCTGCAGGAGTAGCTGCTGCTGCAGGAGTGGCTGCTGCTGTACGAGCAGGTGCTGCTGCAGTTCCTAGTTCTACCTTTCCTGCTGCTAGTGCTGGGTTTACTGCTTCTGCTGCTGCTGGCTCTTTTGCTGCTGCTGGTGCTGCTGCTGCTGGTTTTTCTGCTATCGCTGCTGTTGGTGTCACTACTAGTTGCTGCTGCTCCCACTGCTGCTGCAGCTGCTACTCTTGCTGCTGCAGTCGCAGGTGCTTCTGCTGCTGCAACCCCACCTGCTGCTGCTACTCCTGCTGCTGCTGCTGCTGCTGCTGCGTTGCTAGTGGGAATCAGAACACGCTGTGTCTCGGACACGAATCCGTGGGATCCTCCGGGATCGACTGGGATCGTCTGGGATCGTCTGGGATCGTCTGGGATCGATTAGGATTGTCTGGGATCGTCTAGAAAAGTCTGGGATGACCTATTACTGTTGACACTCAATTGCTGCACTCAGTTTGCTGCTACTTGAAGACAAAAGCCGCACGCCCTCAGTTGCTGCTGGTGCTGCAGCAGCATCAGACAGCTGCAGCAGCAAAAGCGGCAACAGCAGCAGCTGCAGAAAGCGCAGCAGCAGCAGCAGCAGCTAGTGCGACAGGTGCATAAGCAGGAGCAGCTGCAGCAGCAGCAGCAGCAGCAGCAGCAGGCGCCGTGTTAAGACGAGGCTTGCGCCGTCTCTGGCCGCAGCGAGCCCAGCAGCAGCAAGAAGCAGCAGCAGCAGCTAATGATTGCTGCTGCTGCAGCTCCTAGGACGCTGTAGAAGTGGCCAGAAGCAGCAGCGCAGTGGCTTTGGATTTGCACTTGTTTTGCTTCTTCATTGCTGCCAATTTTCGGGGATTTTCGCAAATTCATTTAAATAAATGGACAAATAAAATATTATTTTGAAAATAAAACATTATTTTGCTTCAAATAAAGCATTTGCAGGCTTTGTGCTGCAGTTGCTGCCAATTTGTCGGAAAAATGCAACTAAGTTGCTGCTGCTGAAGTGCCAGCAGCAAGTTGCTTCTGCCCCGCTAAGGGGAATTTCTGTGCAAGTCTCATTTATTTCTTTATTTTCTTTTTAATTTCTTTTTAATTTCTTTTTAATTTATTTAATTTCAGAAAATAAATACATTTCTTCATCTGCATATTTACATTTCTTCTTGTGCTTGCGCTTTGCAGGCAAATGCTGCAGCTGAAGCTGTGCGAGCATGCGACCTGGTTGTTTGCTGCTGCTGCTGCTGCTGCTGCTGCTGCTTTTGCTGCTGCTGCTACTGCTACTGCTGCTGCGGTTGCTAAGTGAGCCGCGGCGTCAGCCGCTGCACCGATTTCTGCTGCCAAGTCAGCTGCTGCGTCAGCTGCTGTTTTGAAGCGACTGCTGCACCTGCTGCAGCTGCTGCTGCTACTGCAGCAGCTGCTGCTACTAAATGAGTTGCTACGCCAGCTGCTGCGTCAGCTGCTGCTGCTGCTAAGTGGGCCGGCGCGTCACCTGCTGCTGCTGCTGCTACCGGAAGTGTGGGAAGCCCTCGTGCTGCTGCTGCTGCTGCTGCAGCTGCGGCTGCTACTGGAGGTGGGGGAAGTCATCGCGCTCGCGCTGCTGCTGCTGCTGCTGCTGCTGCTGCTGCCGCTTCCGGGCGTTGCGGCCGCCACCGGAGACCTGCGCAGCATGCAGCAGCAGAAACTCAGGGCGCCTCTGCCTGTGCCGCGGAAGCAGCAGCAGCAGCAGCAGCAGCAGCAGCAGCGCGAGGACGGTGGTCCACTGGTCACGCGTCCCAGCCTAGGCACTTGCCCGTGAGTGTTGTGCGTTCCTTACCGCCGCCGCAGCAGCAGCAGCAGCTGCTGCTGCTGCATCCCCGACGACCGCGGCGGCCGCCGCCGCCGCAGCAGCAGCAGCAGCAGCAGCAGCAGCGGGACTCCCCGGACAGGCAGCAGCAGCAGACACAGCCTGGAGCCTCTCGCGATCCTCAGAACTGCGGATACACTCCAACATCTTGTTGTAAAACTCGTGCTGCAGCTGATGGTCAAAACGCGAAGGAGTTAAAGGCCTGCTGACGCAGCAGCCTTCGCTGCTGGGGCAGCTGGGGGTGGGGGAGAAGCTGTGGCCGATCCCGCAGTCCGCGATTACGGGCCCCAGCTGCTGCTGCTGCTGCTGCTGCTGCTGCTGCTGCTGCTGCTGCTGCTGGGGGGGGGGGGGGGGGGGGGGGGGGG